TCTGTGTCACTATAGGTGAGGGTAGAATATGTGGTCTGTGTCACTATAGGTGAGATAGAATATGTGGTCTGTGTCACTATAGGTGAGGGTAGAATATGTGGTCTGTGTCACTATAGGTGAGATAGAATATGTGGTCTGTGTCACTATCGGTGAGGGTAGAATATGTGGTCTGTGTCACTATAGGTGAGGGTAGAATATGTGGTATGTGTCACTTTAAGTGAGGGTAGAATATATGATCTGGGTCACTATCGGTGAGGGTAGAATATGTGGCCTGTGTAACTATAGGTGAGATGGTAGAATGTGTGGTCTGTGTCACTATCGGTGAGATTGTAGAATATGTGGTCTGTGTCACTATAGGTGAGGGTAGAAAATGTGGTCTGTGTCACTATCGGTGAGGGTAGAATATGTGATCTGTGTCACTATAGATGAGGGTAGAATATGCGGTCTGTGTCACTATAGGTGAGATGGTAGAATATGTGGTCTGTGTCACTATAGGTGAAGGTAGAATATGCGGTCTTATCTCACTATAGGTGAGATGGTAGAATATGTGGTCTGTGTCACTATCGGTGAGGGTAGAATATGTGGTCTGTGTCACTATCGGTGAGGGTAGAATATGTGGTCTGTGTCACTATAGGTGAGTGTAGAATATGTGGTCTGTATCGCTATTGGTGAGGGTAGAATATGTGGTCTGTGTCACTATCGGTGAAGGTAGAATATGTGGTCTGTATCGCAAAGGATCAATCGAGAGTGTACAATATGAACACCTATATCAAGAGAAGAGAATGTAAAATAGTATACCTATATTAATAGACGAGAGAGTAGAGTGTTATACCAATACCATTAGAAGAGAGCGGAGACTAAGCACAGATACAATAGACGATGTGATAAAGACCATGCAACCAATAGTGAAAACAATAGACCCAACAGACAGTGAGAGTCTGTAGACAAACTTATTGACACAGATATTAACTAGTTTTCAATCGGTGGTCAATATGGCGTGGCTAACCAAGCCTGACGCTAATGTTAATCAGTTGTTTTCAGTGACTCCTTAACTCGAGGCTTCTGTTCTGTCATCTTCCTGCAAAAACAATCAAAAGAAAGAAACTCGAAAAGGTCTGTATCGTATAACGGGAACAACATATGTACTCTCGCGGTTAATGAAGGTTGTAGGTCTAGTCTTGGGGCCAACTCAAGTCGGTAGCTCGTTAATAATGCTGGGTTTATAACACTTAATTCGCTGCAGGTAATACATAATTTCTCGTTTGTTAGTTATGATGTAAATATTGGCTGTACATGCGGGCGGACAGGGAGATAGCGTGACTCAGTCCGCCTCTCTCCTACGTCATGGAAGCACGCGAGGTGATGTGTTGCAGTTGGTGATAATAGAGGTTATAATCTTCAACTTCCTGTCATAACAAGGGGCATGCGTAGAAGCACTAAACGATTAAATCCAACACATCAAGGTATGGGGATAGACTTCTGGTTAGCAATGTACTTCTCATGTGTTTTATTCCCTGCGGTGCCAGTTCTTCCTGTCTCTTAGGCAGTGGGGTAGCCTAGTGGTTAAAGCGTTCGCTCGTCATGCCGAGTTCGATCCCCGACATAGGTACAATGTGTGAAGCCCATTTCTGGTCTCCCCCAGCTGTGATATTGCTGGAATGTTGCTAAAAGCGGCGTAAAACCAAACTCACTCACTCACTCTTCCTGCCTCTGTGGTATTGCTTCTCATGTTCAGTCTCACTCCATCCCGTGTTATTGGGTTACGTAATAACAAGTTTCTGCAGCATAAGACCAACTGGAAGGACGGACATGTTTGACCTGATCAGCACAACAAACAAGGAGGATTGTGTTCTGTCTTTAAAATATGACCCTTTGTCGGCTTTAAGCCTTGCTGTGAGGAATACACATTGCTACATCCAACAGCACGCGCTCCATGCTCACGTTATGTACATAACTTGGGTGCCAGATCATTTACTTTAGAGGCCTACTAGACAACTGTACTTGTGACACCCAGACCCCAGGCAGAAGAACACTGAGAATATCGTTATTTTCGCACCTTGTGTAGAGATGTTTGTATACGTAGGTTGTATTTCTATAGGCTCCGACGCCCGGGGGTCTTGTGGTGTTTTTCGGACGTGCCCTGCGTGTGGAGACAGTCATGTACTGAGGGGTGGAAGTGACGGTAGCGGCACAGTGGCGGCAGATGACCACACGGGCGTGCTGCAGGCGTCTCATGTCGCCGTTGTGGGTGTCTCCGACGCGCGATACACAGCCAGTCAAGCCACCTCCGACCTGGCGCTGTGTACAAACTCGAATCTACATGAGTCTTCCAGACTCTAAGCCGAATCCCACCGTCCACATTTACACCGATTAACTTGCCCGCCATCTAAGGCCTCTTTGCTTTTCGGATTCTCTTTACGGCGTGAAGACTGCTAATCCCCATGATCAGAGACAAATCTGCTGAAGGCATCTACAGTAAACATTCTCTTATGTTACAGTTTGCTAGAGGGTAGGTTGAGTTTACCTGACAGGACCCCACCACGGTAAGCTGTTGACTCAAGCAGAGAAATAGCAGTCAGTCCCACTGCTTTAGACTGTCCTCAACGACAAAGGGTATTGTCAGAACCTCCCGCGAGGATGGCAGACAGATTTGTCGCCAGATGCCAGAGTTGCCTCCCCTTGGTTGGTGCAGTGCAGAATAGACCCGGAATACGTTGTTTGCATTGGTGTGTATAGGTCAGGGATACCTTTGCTTGCCTTACAATGAGCATTCTGGGCAGCAAAGGCCAATGTTCCCTTGTTTGTCTGATGCGCTTTGCAAGTCAGAACAGCTGGCGGTTCCTTGATTGTCTAACCATGCGCTTTGAAGATCATACTAACTGCCTGTTCCTAACTTGTCTCATGCGATTTGCAGATCAGAACAGCTGCTGGTTCCTTGATTGTCTAACCATGCGCTTTGAAGATCATACTAGCTGCCTGTTCCGAACTTGTCTGATGCGATTTGCAGATCAGCATAGCTGCCGTTTACTTCTTTATCTGACCATGCGATTTGCAGATCAGAATAGCTGCCGTTTACTTCTTTAACTGACCATGCGATTTGCAGATCAGAATAGCTGCCGTTTACTTCTTTAACTGACCATACTATTTGCAGATCAGAATAGCTGCCGTTTACTTCTTTAACTGACCATGCTATTTGCAGATCAGAATAGCTGCCGTTTTCTTCTTTAACTGGCCATGCTATTCATTGCATGTCCCCGTGCCGTCGCTTGTCAACTGTAATACAAGGTTAGTTAAGTAACAGGCCATGCATAGTGGATACCTAGTGTGGATGACAAGTACAATATTAGGTGGTTACTGTTTTAGGTCGTCCAAATTTACCAAGAATCACCCATACCGACAACTTAAAACTAACTCTATCTGCAATCCAGGACTCACTTCTATGTCTGGTGACTGTCCCGAAGAGGGACATTTCAGTGTTGTCACCAGTATGTCACTGACGACACTGTCTCAAATCATTCGTAGCCACCCGAATCATCCCAGGACAAACCGTTGAAAGAAGGTTAGGGAAAAGGGCGACTGATGACGAATGTAGTGGGGTAAATAGTATCATAATGTGTGTAGAATTGAGCAATAAACTAGATCTAGAGTTCAATAAATGTCACATATCAAGAGCTGGTAAATACCTGCACGGGGTCTACTTAACATGCTAGTACTAAAGCAGAAGAGACGGGACAGCCATAAAGCTCTACTAGATGTATATGTAGATATAGAGTTGACACCCCGGGTGTTCGAGCGCCACCTATAGTCCGATCATGGAGACAGCGGGTGTCGGGTATACACCTGTAATGATTTACTTCCTATCAGTTTTCAGCCTACCTGCCATTCTATTGTTGCGAGGGTGGGGCAGATTGGTTTTTGATACCGTCAGTCAAACTGGCATATCTCAAGCGGTGGGCGTGGTGCGCGATCAGTGACGCCTAGCAGTAAGTAGTGGCGGAGAGAAAAGTATATCCCAAACGTTTAATGTAACTTGTAATCTAAGAAACACTTTCAATGTTTCACGGTCTACTGCCCTGTCTAGGTCTAGCCGTTGTTATTAGCTTCTTATGTGGAACTGAGACATTGTTTCTGTAATTAGAGTAGTCATTTATTGCAAGGTGATCAAGACAATAAACCTGTGTTAGCAGACAAACAAAGTGGTGTTTGAATGACCTGATTTAAACTGATTTACTGATTAGCTCAAGCATGAACCCTCTTGTAGTGTGTTCTGGTATTTGCACGTCTACATCTACGCGTTTTCATATGGTAGTTTAGCCCTGATGAAGTCACACGCCAGCCGCTCTCTGCTGTATCGACATATAGTGGGATATTTTATGTCCGCTTCAGTCGATCTGGTCGGTTGGAGTCTGTTGCATGTGAGGCGCTGTTTTACCATCTATTCCCTACATGATGATGTCAATGAGTCATTTCTTGAATATAATAAATTCAATTTTTGAAAAATAATAAAAAAATCTAAGTTTATTTAGATATTAATAAATCGATTTAGTGATATCAAGAAATGAATAAGTGATATCACCAATACATTATTTAATATCTTTAAAATAATATAATTACGTTTCAAACTCGAATTTGTGATATCATTAGATATGGTATGATATTCATATATATTTGTATATAACACGATATTATAAAATAGGGAATACATAGTAAAACGGTGTCTTATGATATATTTTAGGAGAAGGAAGCACCAAAATATATCGAAAAATGATTGCACCTTATACGTAATTGCCTGGACTATTTTGTAGAACGATGGTTGTGCGGTCAATGAATTTCCTTCAGCGAACGTCATATATGTCTTTCTTCATTCTCCGTTACGCAACACGATTAAAAAAACTAACACCGTAACCATAATACGACAGATAGTTCCTTTTTCCTAACACAGATCAATTATTTCTAGCGACTTGCAGTTACCTTCCAGTTACCTCCCTTAGCGCACCTGACAACACTTCCGGCGAAGAGACGCTTCAACCTGCTAATCAAGTTATTCGATGAAAATGGCATTTTCTAGTTCTGTATGGATTGTCTTCATTGTGACATGCATGTCAGGTGTCTCGCACGGTGCCAAAGAGATATCTGTGCCAAAGGACATTCCTAAAGGTGCCAACGGGGGTGCTATTTGCAGGAGGGGGACTTCGTTTTGATATCCGTACAGGATCATTCACTATGTGTAGAATTCGATAGTCGACACGCTTCAGTGAACATGATCGTATATGGTCTGTGTGTAGCTAAAACTTCCGCCCGTAACCCCTGCCTCTATTGTTTTTTACAAATCTTAACCCCTGGCTACAAGTATAAACAGATTTATTAAACCGACTTTTTTCAGGACAAATTGTCAAAATTCAAAGCAAATGTCATCTGATGTTTACTGAGAAATTAATATGTTAAATGCTTGACTTCCTCACAGATAATATCTATGTGAAATTTGTGGATAGGACATTTAGGCAAGAAGTAGGCATTCCAAGGGCACCGATTGTGCCCCCTCCTTACTAATCTCTTTTTGCATACACATATTGTATATATGAGTCAGAATCTCTGCTTGGCAAAATCAAAACAAGAGAATACAAATAGCCAGTTTGCTTGAACTGATTGGGTGCAGGCTAAAACGGCACCTCAGCAAAACGTCACTGATTTTTCTGGCGAAAACAGCTACTATGTGTCGGGCGAAAACGGCACCTCTATTTCTAATATGGATAAGAAGGATTCTTGTAGTAATATATATGGTTTATTTACATGGTATATGATGTATGTGATGTATTTACACGGACAGGTAAGAAGTCCTCGGCAATCAGAAAATATGAATAAAAGTTAAAACACAATATTCGTTATGTTACAACATTGCAATTATTCTGAGAATTTATACAATAGCATTATGTAGTTTATTTTATTATTATTAGTACCTCGAAGTCCAATGTCCTCGGCTCTTTGGGGCGCCACAGTTCCCGGGTTCAGTTCGCCATGCGAAAGGCCATTATGAATAATTGTGATCTGACAGCACCATGTTTGGCCTCTTAAATACAGTTTCAGCTTAAATTGAGTAAAAGTACTTAAAACTTCAAAGCGTAAAGTGTTTTCACAATAAGTTAACTGCGCCTACCAATCAGAGTCGGCGAGTCAATTGGAGAAGGGGTCTAATTTCTTACTTGTTCTATGTAAGTTTACTATCATTTATTTGACCAAGGTGTAATAAAATAAGATGACGTTTTGCTGAAGTGCCGTTTTCGCTATAACCCAACTGATTTACCCACCTGAGCAAGACCAGTAAAACCACCTCACCTGTTTCATATTCCGATCCATGCTCAGAGTGAAAAAAATTATACACATGACTGTATGACAAGAGGGTTGACTTCAACTTTCCAATAGTCAACTTTTCCTTTATGTTGAGCAATATTCCAGCAGCCTTTGAGGTACATTTCACAACTTTTGAAGTACAGTTGATCATACTCTTTCTCCCATGATTTCAAAAAGCATATCATATGACTCATGCTCAAAAGTTGTTTAACTGGGGTTACAACATTCAAGACCTTAGCAAAACTTTTTTTTTAAACTATGGTACACATGTGGAGGACATTTCCTAATTTGATGGAGGCGGTCGGGTAGCCTAATGGTTTAAGCGTTCGCTCTTTACCCCGAAGACCCGGGTTCGATTCCGCACATGCACACAATATGTAAAGCTTATTTCTGGTGTCCCCCACCGTGATATTGCTGGAATATTGCTAAAAGCGGCGTAAAACCATACTCACCCACTCCCTCCAAATTTGATGCATCAGTGAAACTTATCCGATGCAATTTCCTATTTTGACATGTACCATTTGACCCCATCTATATTTTTGTGAACAATCGACTTGCCTTTGCATTTGTTTGTAATGGGTGCCATGGATATGCCTAACCTTTCATGAACACCTGGTGTCATCACTATTTGATTGTGATTCATAAACACATGCTTATGATATAGTTGGAGTGATAAATGGACTCTGGTTTTAAGATTTCTTATGATAAAGGAAATGGTTTATTTACTCTGGTATAATTCTCTACTTTTTATTTCAGACATTTACTGTATAGGGTGTGAATACACAGTGAAAGGTAACACATCTTCTTTATGAAACATGTCAATAGCTAAACTATATCATTATAAATAACCAGGAATTACTTTTGTACATCATGAACATTGTATAGATATGTTTTTGATCATTTTATGACAATTCACAATTTTATATCCAAAAGTTCTTACACCACATTGGCAATCACTGACTGGTAGAATGACCATCCTGCACATTCATTTGAATATTTTTTAAACCGATACTTTATCGCAGTAACAGAAGTATGAATGTGATCTATCTGATATTTTGTTTGACAGCTTTGGACAATCTGTTGAAAGTCCGATCAGAATCTGACACACTGGACATTCAAGTGGCCGAAGCCATTGAGGCTGTTTGTGACAAGAATCACTTCAGTGGGGCGGAAGTTTCTGCCGACAGTCTGTTGAAGGCCTGCAAATTTTTAACTGGTGAGAATTTCACAATACATAACATGTACCATTCTATCAAGCTTTGCAGACTTTTAGAAATATTACGGAGAGGGACACCAGAAATGGGCTTTACATATTGTACCCTTTTAAGGGTTCAAAGCCACGCCTTCTGTGTGATGAGCGAACACATCCTTCTAGGCTACCCAAACCAGCCTCGAACCTCGGTATTAAATGGTGATCATCGTTTTTAATTATAATGCTTTACAAATGATATTAGGGCTGGGACGGGTCCAAATTTACTACCCGGGTACCCACCACCCTATTACCCGACCCTACCCGGGTACCCGCTGTAGATATTTAGAGATAGGTACAAACTGTCCGATTTGGAAACGTTTGACCTTAGCTCTGTCAAAATGTTTTCAGATACACGTGTAAGACGATCCACTCATGCATACACTGAAGTTTAATGTATGAAGTTTTATCTTTATTCAAACATATAGAGGTCAGAAGGAATGGATACATTGTCAGAAAGAAATGGGATATTTATTAGTGACTTATAGTATAACCATAGAGTTTTAGATATTTTTTGTCATCAAACAATATATATCACGTGACAAACCACGGGTCCGGGTAGTCCTTTGGGTACCAAGGTCCTACTCAGGACCCACCCAACCCGGGTACCCGATTTACCCGTCCCAGCCCTAAATGATATCATAAATGAGAATGAAATCTGTTGAATGTTTTGTGTATTACATGGAACTTTATCCACAAACTACCTCTTTGACATGTAATCATGCCAATGTTACAACTATCAGATGTGTTATGTGGTTACAGTAACACCTGTTGGATGTGATCAGTTGTCCCTCTGTTGACTTCCAGATACGCATCAAGACATCCTGGAGCCTCTCCTGGTCGGCCACTACAGCCGCACCTACATGGCGACCTACCTCGACCTGTCGCAGCAAGTGTGCATCGACCTCTCCATGGCATGCGTTGACGTTGCCGGCAAAAAAAGATTTCCCAAACATCTGGTAAGTGTTGGTATAATCATCTTCTCATGAATATGGTTCCAAGGTTACTGACATTTCCAAAATGGACTTATTCCACATGAAAGGTTATGCTCACAAGATTGCTACAATTCTCTATTAAGTATTCATGTGTTTGTCTTAAACTTTGTGTACACCTTCTGTGGTAGGAGGCCCTGCTTTGAGAAGGTTGAGGTCAAAGGAAGTTATTGGTTAATGTTAGTATTCAGACTTGTATGAAACTTGGTTATATCATTGGTAGTTTCTGCGTCATGGTGGACGGTCGGGTAGCCTAGGGGTTAAAGTGTTCGCTCGTCACGCCGAAGACCCAGGTTCGATTCTCATCATGGGTACAATGTGTAAGGCCAATTTCTGGTGTCCCCCGTTGTGATATTGCTGGAATATTGCTAAAAGCGGCAGAAAAACATACTCACTCACTCACTCTGAGGCATGGTAACTTCTACAGGTATAGCTTTAAATTTTACACATTCTAACAAATGTTGCTGGCGTTTTATTATGTCAAGGTCATCTTTGATTTTATTGTGAAACATGGTTATATCATTCAGTGCTAGGTTTTACTTGTACAATCGAACGACTGGTAACTATTGGATCTCATGTAGATCATGGTGTGGCATCTGTGAACTGGTATTTTAACGTATTGGGAACTTTCAGGAGATGGTGGTTAATGGGCTTCTTCTGTGTTTGCAAGTAGTTTATGATTGTTTCATGGATAGCTAAATATGTAGTCAGTGTTAAAAGTCTAAGTATTTGAGCGCCCTTGTCATCCCACATCCTTTGATCAAGAAAAACATGTTAGTGACCAAACCTTGGTCAAACAATGATGGAAACATTTTGATCAAATTGTGTAATCATTGGTGTAAATTATCAGTTTACTAATTTTGTGACTGTTGTGATGTCAGGAGTCGGATTTGGAATTTGATCCGGAGATGCAGAGCTTCAAGGTGAAACCAGGACGCAATCTACGTATACCTGAGCCTGTTGAAGCTGGCCGTGAGGACCTGTAACCTGTCTCCCTCCATCAGCTGGCGTCTCAGTGATGCATTCTCAGTGTTCGGAATTAAGCTTGGGAGTCAATGGGTTCTTTCCATAGCCTTAAAGTTAACGGGGGATGATTTGAAGGTACCTCGATTCAAATACTACAGCAGCAAACCTCAGGAGCCCTGGACCACGCTTAATTTCCAACACTACATTCTTATGGTTGTTAGAGAATTTATTAATTTTTACCTGGATGAGGAAATGTTAATATATTGATCTGATTAATTCTGAGGTGAGGATTTCAGCGTTAATCAGACTTTTTATAAACAGTTGTTTGTATCGATATTTTCTTGTAGAACCTGGATGAATACATGACTATTTTTACACCATGTATATAGACAAGCCATTGAAACATTTTGAAACATGAAGTGTCTGTACTTAGACTTGTATACATGATTGTATGTTATAATAAAACAAATCATTATGTCAGTTTAGCCCAAACAAAAAGAGAAAGAAGTCTGTTTTTACCTATATATTGTTTTGTCGAGTTTAAGTCATGGTGAACAAGTCCTTTCAACAGTATTGTGTACAATCAACCTTTCCTTTTTTTCAAAGGACATGAGCTGTTTAAATGCTCCATCGCCTTAATGTATTTGACTGACAATGTATTAGCTGCCTTCAGTTCTTCAGGGTAATGTATCACCATGTTGTCCACATCTGGAATCTGTTTGCAGTGTGAACAGGACTTTTCAGTTAACTGTTATTGTTTGTATTATAATACTCAACTTTAGATAAGGATTCTGAGACATGCTATTTAACAATCTCATTAAAATCAGATTTTAGTTTTCGCTACTGCTAAACAAAGATCTGAGGACATCCCATTACGAGTCACGTCAGACCCACCAATGAAATGACTGACAAGAAATCGACATTAGCCAATCAGAAGGCAGCTTTCTCTAGCTTTATGACACTAGTTTCAAACTGGCAACTACGCTTCGAAACATATTTTGACGTATTCTCGATTAAAACAATTAAAACTGATAAGAACACTCTGGAATGGTTTACAGGTGGCCTAGATTGTATGGGTATAATCATAGAACCTGTAACTGTTGTTCAGAATACCCTCTGTTAAATATTTCATGGTTGCATGGTTAGAAAACACATTCCGACTGTCACTTTCATGATCTGGTAAGCAACGCTATGATTGGTTGGATGAAAGGTCGTTCTGACGTGACCCTTAATGGGATGTCTTCAGATCTTTGTTTAGCGATAGCGAGAACAAAGATCTGATTTTAATGAGATTGTGCTATTTAATTGTACATAAGTCATCAGTTTGATGTGTCATGGGGTACCCAGGTGTATGCTGCCAGGGGATTAGGAAGCAGTGTCAGTTTCTTATGTGTCAGCCCATCCTCAATTGTCCAGTGTGTCTCCATTCCACGTCGATAAACACTCTGGACTCAGTGAACACCATAGCTTCGTTTCAGAAGTGACACCACCATTTTGATGCTCTTGTCGCTAACTTTGCAGAGAATTTCTCTCACATATGAGCTTGAAATGAATAACCAATCACAACGCCTCTTCTCAAAATTCCAATATTTTGGCTTGTGAAAGGTTTTCCTAAAGGAGTAGCTCATGCTTTAAGGTTCCTGGTGGAATACGAGACACGGGGAGTCCGGGTGATTTGGCAGCTTGTGTCAACCAAGAAAGGACAGTGCAATAATTCCAGATCTGTTTTTCATGTTGTCATTTGACCCAGACTCTCAAATACGCTGTGGTGGTGAATTGGTCCAGGATATTTATCGTTATAGAACTGATGTATAAGGCACTTGATAATCAGGGATGGTGTCAACTTATGTGTTTCACTTAATGACTTTGGCATAGAGTACACAATATCAGCACCCCGGACCTGCCACTGGTGGTATTACAGTGTGTTGCAACCTTGAGGAGAGAATCTTGGCCATTGCTTCCAAATACTATCTCATCGAAAACAATACAAGTACTAAGTTTAGACATAAAAGAGTGGTAGATGTGAAATATTGGTGCCAAGCATACACTACCTTGCCAAATAATCATTCATAATCTTTAAGATACACACAAAATGCCATGTCAAACGCCTGTGCTTCTGGTTTTTCTGTTCACTTAATGTCCATCTAAGATAGAAAAACTTGGTGCTTGAGATGATATCTTTTTGTCAGTATCTTAACCTGTATTAATGTCCACCATAAATACTCACAATGTAACAGGACATTTATTCCTGGACATCAATTTGTTATGCTTTGGTGTTAGCATGATACTCTGTTGTTTCTATGCAGCAACCATTACAAGCTGTAACCATGGCAATCTCACTATATCTGTATATATACACCAAACATATAACAGCTGTAACCATCATAATCTCACTATAGCTGTATATATAAGGCTTTACAGCGTACCTGTAACCATGGCAATCTCACTATCTGTATATATACAGCAAACATATAACAGCTGTAACCATCATAATCTCACTATAGCTGTATATATACGGCTTTCCAGCGTACCTGTAACCATGGCAATCTCAATATATCTGTGTACACTCGGCATTCAACACAACTGTAACCACGGCAATCTCACGTTATTTGTATATATACAGCAGCCATTAACAAGCTGTAACCATCGTAATCTCACTATAGCTGTATATAGAAGGCTTTTAAGCCAATCTCATTCAAATCAGATCTTAGTTTTCGGTACCGCTAAATAAAGATCGGAGCACATCCCATAACAGGTCATATCAGAACGACCTTTTGCGAACTTTGACCGACCAATGAAATGACTAACAAGCAATCGACATTAGCCAATCAGGAGGCAGCTTTCTCGAGCTTTGCGACACAAGTTTCAAACTGGTGACTACGCTTCAAAACATATTTTGATGTATTCTTGATTAAAAAATTTAAAACTGATGAAAAGAACATTCTGGAATGGCTTATAGATGGCCTAGATTGTATGGATATAATAAAAAGAAAACTTAACTGTCGTTTGGAATACCCTGTGTTAATTTTTTTCGATTTTGCATGATGAGAAAACACATTCCGTCCATCACTTTCATGATCTGGTAAGCGACGCTCTGATTGGTTAGATGAATGGTCGTTCTGATGCGACCCGTAATGGGATGTCCTCAGATCTTTGTTTAGCAATAGCGGGAACTAAGATCTAATTTTAATGAGATTGCTTTTAAGCGTAGCTGTAACCATGGCAATCTCAGTATATCTGTACATAGAGTTTTTCAAGTTTAGCTGTAACAATGGCAGTCATAATATACCTACAGTTTTGAACCCGTCATCATGAATTTTGCAGGACCGTCTTATAACTTCGAGACAATGAATATCCAGACAGATCAAGTAACAGTAGTTTAGATACATACACAGGAAATTAAGAACACATCGCATGCATGCGATGACAAATTGAAATGTTTTTCACCAGCAATGAGTAATAATAACTGTGACAAATTATGTACAGTGTACATGTACCTTAGGCATAGTAGCAATCAGTCTGTCCACTTGACGAAAACAACAAAGTGCCGCTCTCGCCTCAAGCGGCTTTCATTCCATTAATCCAACTTTGATTAGCACTTAGAACTAGGAAGAGCCATGTCTTTAATCATGTCCACTCACGATCTTTCATTTGTCAATAAAAGGGAAAGGTATTAGATAAGATACAAGGTACAAAATTCTGTTGTAAAGACAAAGTTGGGATCGAGTCCAAAGTTCGAGATAGCGTTATGTATATTTATCTCAGATACAATAAATCTCAAATTTATATTTATTTATTTTGTGACCGGAGAAGAGGTTAAAGATATCGGTGCATTCGAGATACATGTAACAGAGTTAGAGATAACGTGGTTCGACTGTATATATTGTATGCAGCATTTAAGCATAGGTCTAATCATGTCAATGTATTTGTATAGAATACTCAGCATTTATGTATAGATGTAACCATGGTAATAGTCTTTCTAATCCATTCCTGTAACCATGGCTCTCTCTAGACACTCCTGTAAACTTAGCAAGTATACATTGTATATGTCAGTATAGTCATGTGTAGTTTGCAGTGACTTGAGTTGTCCATCACAGCCTGACATGCCATGTGTGCAGATGTTTGTACATTGATCACCCTGGTACATGTACACGATATGTTTTAGTCTTAGCAAATATTAGATTGATGAAGTTTACACGTGGTGACTTCAAGATCAAGTATAACTCGTTTTTCAGTGGCATTTTATTTTAATATTAATTGGAAATCCAGTTCCAATATGGTCAACGAATTGTTCAATATATTTTGCCAGAATTGCACTTGTTTTCATGCTGCATTGCATTGTACTTAACTTCTTGGGTAGCTTCTGATTCTACCATCAGTTTAATGTTTTTTCATACACCATGTGTATCACACTATTATGAATGCTGTATAATGGTGCTTTCCTGAAAAAACATCCACGTCGTGCAGCTTTAAACATGTCTCTGTACTAGTGTAAATGTGTCTTCATCAATGAGTGATGTACTATTCAGACTATTATACACCTCAAGCACACCTGCTACCATCACAAAGCAATAAACTTTTATATTTATCACTTTCCTAAAGCAGTTTTGTGTTATGTTTTCAAATCAGGTGATGTTAACCAACGCTTGGTGAGTTGGGGGATTAGTGACTATGCTGTGCAAGCTTATGTCTTGAGAGTTTCTAACACTTGCATGTAGTGAGTGAGTGAGTTGGGTATAACGCCGTTTTTAACATTGTTCCAGTTACATCACGGCATGTCAGCTTAATGTGGGAGGAAAGCCCGAAGTGATGCAGGTCTCAGACGTTTACCACCAAGGTGAAACCCACGAGCACGGGTATGGTGCTGACAAACCTAGAAACATAATCGGGGCGAACCGGGATTCGAACCCACAATCATAGGTTTCAGGCATGCCCAAGGGACGCAACTCTGCACAGCGAATCGCGGCGCCTTAGACGACTGGGCCACCTGTGCCCCCACACTTGCATGTAGGTCCTGCCTAACACTACAAACAGTTGTGTATTTGCCCTCTGTTTAGTCAGCAACTAGTGAGTATGAAGTGAAATCAAAACCTTTCTGTGCCTTACACGCAGCTTGGGTTGTATATGTGAGCGATGAATTAGTCCTAGGTATAAATATTCCTGAAGGAATAATAATTCCTATGTAGAAATTGACAGAGGGAGGGAAATACAGTCCTCATCTCAGGTACTTTGTTTCACAGGAACCAGTACTCCTGGTATCGGTTCCCCCAAAACAATGTTCAGGGGGAGTATATTTACTCTCACATATGTATACTCCCCAGGAAGCTGAGATACCAGTTGGAACTGGCAGTGATCTGTTTACTTGGATAATAATGTTGCACCATGAACAAGCCTCAGGGTGAGGATACAGTGTAATATAACCTTGCCATTATTATAATTATTATTACTCGTATTATTATTATTATTATTTCACACACTGAGTTGTCTCCTGTTATTCACTACCTAGGAACACAGAGTGTGTGAATGCTGTTTAATGCCATGGTCAGAAATATACCTGTGAGTGAGTGAGTGAGTTGGGTTTAACGCTTTTTACAGTATTCCAGTTACATCACGGCGTGTCAGCTTAACGTGGGAGGAAAGCCCGAAGTGATGCAGGTCTCAGACATTTACCACTTCGGTGAAACCCACGAGCACGGGTATGGTACTCACAAACCTAGAAACAAAAGCGGGGCCAACCGGGATTCAAACCATCAATCATAGGTTTCTGGCGTGCCCAAGGGACGCAACTCTGCACAGCGAATCGCGGCGCCTTAGATGACTGGGCCACCCATGCCCCCCAATATACCTCTGACGCCACTGCAAATAATCCACTTTGAACCAGTGACTGACAGCATGAGCATGGCCACCATGACAATCAGTGACAGTAGCCATCAGTGACAATTGTAGCCATCTTACAGAAAGCAGTGGCTACTGGTGCTCCACGGTCCAGGATACAGAACAGACTCCAGTGTAGGTAGTGTAGTTTTATTGTATGTACAAGTCCATATCACAGGAACAGGTCAGCAGGGGGTCCCCAGTATGAGGAGCCTGCTGTAGATAACGATGTGGACGGAATCTTCAAACTGTTCTCGATATAAGGCTGGTCCTCAAAGGCCACTTCCAACTGAGTGCCATTTACCATGTTTATCACACACCAGGATTGTTATGTCCATATATTGACTGTCAATATGAACAAATAAAAGTATGAAGGTGTTGTATCAACATAGTGATGCTGTGGAAAAGGGTGGATAATTCAGATGTTGTATTTCATAACTACCCTATTTGACATAATAAGCGCCCAGGGCGCTCTCAAAATTAGAAATCGGGGGCTCTTATTAGAATATTATTTTGGTGAAAAAAAGAGAGTTGAAAGATAAATTTTGTGGTTTATGCTGACAGCCTGAAATGTTTATATGCGACAGATATATTTTTCCAGAATTTAATTGCCCATAATGAAGGGTGCATATAACACACGAGTGCGTATTATACACGAATAAATAAGTCTTTTGTACATTGATCAATCGGAAGGGCTTCCAATTGGGATTGTTCACTGGCCAATATATTAGCAAATATCGCCAAGATCGCTTATTAGAGCGGGGCACTTATTACTTCGAATACGGTAAGTGTCTTTCTCTAATAAATAAAACTGCAGGTGATCCCGTGGCATTTCATCAACTAACCAAGCAATTGGTTATGGGCAAAGCTGAAAATAAATTAGGCCACACCCACTGACTACTGTTTCTTGATTGGTTGATAATAGAATTGTCGGGGCTTGTGTTGCATTATTGTGCTGAACGTTGTCGCCGATTTCATATTGTTGTCTACAGTTTTGTGTGTTAATGATTGAATAAGCAGTCTGGGAAGTTATAACTGACATATTTATTTGTAAGAATTGACTTCAATATGATTTTGTGTTTAGGGAGTTACATTCGGAAATAACTGTGTGCATACTTTGTAAATTCACGTCAGCTCTTAAATATTCATAAATTAGCATCTATGCTATTTCCACTTAGACATACACCTACTGTGAGCCTGATGGTAATACCACTGAGTTAAAACTGAGCCTCCCTTATACAGAACTGTCCGGGTGATGGCTCTAGTTCAGTTGAAGTAGAATACTCTTCAGAAGTCGAGCCTCGAAAGCTACGGTGTTTCTCCCAGGATGCATCGGTTCTTCCTCCAAAGGCTGCTCTATAACAGCTTTCACGTCACGCCCATACACTGCAACAACAAATGTCACATTCACCATTCACCTATAAGCAGTCAACCACGTAGTGGAAACAATATTCATTAGTAAACAAATATAATGCAATGGTTCAATTGTTGGTCCTACTACACATTATATTTAATGGATCGCTGTGTCAGAGGCTATCAGTATGATCAGGCAGCACAACAATGGCACATTAGCAGGCCTAACATTATTATTGTTGTGGTTATTATATTATACATTTACATATCGTAGGTATCCAAGTACTAGTACCTGCTCAAATACGATTTTAATTGTTCCCCAACCAGTGAATCAGTTCGCATGCCAGTTATCATTCTCAACTCCCTGGGGAGTATACAACCCAAGCTGCCTAGGGGCGCTAGGAGGATTTAACATCCACTTCACAATGCCATGATTACTTCTAAACCCTATCCTGATGATGGTTAAAGAGGCAATCAGTATACATTTAATTGGGATAGTCCTCCAACTGATACTATGGACTTAGTGATGTGACGGACCAGTACTTACATTCACAACACTCCAGGAACTGGATGCACTCCTGAATGACCGAGTCCCGGATCATGATCATGTGTTTGGTCATGTTTTCTATGAGGGAGAGGAAGCAGCGTTTAGCGTAGAACCAAGTGTCTGTGCCCAGCTTCTTGTTGTAGGGCTCCAGGCTCTTGATGACACGAGAGATGCCGAACTCATAGTTGCCCTTGGCACAGTACAGAGTTCTGTAGGCAAGAAACGTTTCAGATTGTACATGTTGAACTTTCTATTGCTAGATCATCAATTGTTCAAACTCAAATGGAAAGACTGCAAATAATAGTTTTCCTCATCATGTACTTCTTAAGAAAATTAGCATAAGAAATTAGCATAATTAGGTAAGAAAAACTACAAACATATTTTACATGTTTTATCTGCTTGTCCTAATGTGACAAATCAGGCCCAGTTTCACAAAGCAATCGTAGCACTATGACATTCCTTTAACACAGACTTATAATAACAAGCACTGCCAGAGCTCTGTGACAGTCCTTTAACACAGGCTTATAACAAGCACAGCCGTAGCACCACGAGAGTCCTTTAACACAGGCTTATAACAATCACTGCAGCCCTTTTAAACCGACTTATAACAAGCACTGCCATAGCACCATGACAGTCCTTTAACACCGACTTATAACAAGCACTGCCATAGGACCATGACAGTCCTTTAACACCGACTTATAACAAGCACTGCCATAGGACCATGACATGATCAGGGTGGGATGATGTTTATAACTTCCTTGAGGACCATGACAGTCCTTTGACACCGACTTATAACAAGCACTGCCATAGGACCATAACATGATCAGGGTGGTATGATGTTTATAACTTCCTTGAGGACCATGACAGTCCTTTGACACCGACTTATAACAATCACTGCAGCCCTATTACACTGACTTATAACAAGCACTGCCATAGGACCATAACATGATCAGGGTGGTATGATGTTTATAACTTCCTTGAGGACCATGACAGTCCTTTGACACCGACTTATAACAATCACTGCAGCCCTATTACACTGACTTATAACAAGCACTGCCATAGGACCATGACATGATCAGGGTGGGATGATGTTTATAACTTCCTTGAGGACCATGACAGTCCTTTGACACCGACTTATAACAAGCACTGCCATAGGACCATAACATGATCAGGGTGGTATGATGTTTATAACTTCCTTAAGGGCCATGACAGTCCTTTAACACTGACTTATAACAATCACTGCAGCCCTATTACACTGACTTATAACAAGCACTGCCATAGGACCATGACATGATCAGGGTGGTATGATGTTTATAACTTCCTTGAGGACCATGACAGTCCTTTGACACCGACTTATAACAATCACTGCAGCCCTATTACACTGACTTATAACAAGCACTGCCATAGGACCATGACATGATCAGGGTGGGATGATGTTTATAACTTCCTTGAGGACCATGACAGTCCTTTGACACCGACTTATAACAAGCACTGCAGCCCTATTACACTGACTTATAACAAGCACTGCCATAGGACCATGACATGATCAGGGTGGGATGATGTTTATAACTTCCTTGAGGACCATGACAGTCCTTTGACACCGACTTATAACAAGCACTGCCATAGGACCATAACATGATCAGGGTGGTATGATGTTTATAACTTCCTTAAGGGCCATGACAGTCCTTTAACACTGACTTATAACAATCACTGCAGCCCTATTACACTGACTTATAACAAGCACTGCCATAGGACCATGACATGATCAGGGTGGGATGATGTTTATAACTTCCTTGAGGACCATGACAGTCCTTTGACACCGACTTATAACAAGCACTGCCATAGGACCATAACATGATCAGGGTGGTATGATGTTTATAACTTCCTTAAGGGCCATGACAGTCCTTTAACACTGACTTATAACAATCACTGCAGCCCTATTACACTGACTTATAACAAGCACTGCCATAGGACCATGACATGATCAGGGTGGGATGATGTTTATAACTTCCTTGAGGACCATGACAGTCCTTTGACACCGACTTATAACAAGCACTGCCATAGGACCATAACATGATCAGGGTGGTATGATGTTTATAACTTCCTTAAGGGCCATGACAGTCCTTTAACACTGACTTATAACAAGCACTGCCATAGGACCATAACATGATCAGGGTGGTATGATGTTTATAACTTCCTTAAGGGCCATGACAGTCCTTTGACACCGACTTATAACAAGCACTGCCATAGGACCATAACATGATCAGGGTGGTATGATGTTTATAACTTCCTTAAGGGCCATGACAGTCCTTTAACACTGACTTATAACAATCACTGCAGCCCTATTACACTGACTTATAACAAGCACTGCCATAGGACCATGACATGATCAGGGTGGTATGATGTTTATAACTTCCTTAAGGGCCATGACAGTCCTTTAACACTGACTTATAACAAGCACTGCCATAGGACCATAACATGATCAGGGTGGTATGATGTTTATAACTTCCTTAAGGGCCATGACAGTCCTTTGACACCGACTTATAACAAGCACTGCCATAGGACCATAACATGATCAGGGTGGTATGATGTTTATAACTTCCTTAAGGGCCATGACAGTCCTTTAACACTGACTTATAACAATCACTGCAGCCCTATTACACTGACTTATAACAAGCACTGCCATAGGACCATGACATGATCAGGGTGGGATGATGTTTATAACTTCCTTGAGGACCATGACAGTCCTTTGACACCGACTTATAACAAGCACTGCCATAGGACCATAACATGATCAGGGTGGTATGATGTTTATAACTTCCTTAAGGGCCATGACAGTCCTTTAACACTGACTTATAACAATCACTGCAGCCCTATTACACTGACTTATAACAAGCACTGCCATAGGACCATGACATGATCAGGGTGGTATGATGTTTATAACTTCCTTGAGGACCATGACAGTCCTTTAACACAGGCTTATAACAAGGACGGACGTAGCACCATGACAGTCCTTTAACACCGACTTATAACAAGCACTGCAGCCCTTTTACACTGACTTATAACAAGCACTGCCATAGGACCATGATATGATCAAGGTGGTATGAAGTTAATAACTTCCTTGAGGACCTGCCCAGTGGAAATGACAGAGATGTGGGTTTAGGATATGGGAGCAGTTGCTATGGAGACTTGCTTACCCTATAACAAGGTTGACAATACACAGGTGGTAGATCTTCTTCTCCGGATCTTCATACGCGACCTGCTCCTCTTCCTTCTCGATCTTCCGCATTAGTTCCTCCGCCTGCAGACAGGGGATTAGACAGACGTGAGGAACAAGGACCACTGTAAACAGGGCTATAGACACAAACAGGTGAGGTGTGGCAGACCTGGGATGTCTGGATCAGCTAACAGGCGACAACTTACACAGGTGCTTTGGATGAACTGATCATACTTATGACAGCAATAAAAAGGGTGGTGCCATATTATATATCTGTCTGATACATCTCACACAAATATGTCCCAGACATGGGGGTCTGGTGTGTTGTACTCACATATATTATCTCTTTGTACTCCTGTTTTGTATATGAGTACAATAAAACCTCTTGATCTTGATCTTGACACATCAGGTATGCTGTCTTACCTCCTCGTTCTGGCTAGTCATGATGTAGGACACGCACAGGTACACTGTCTTACCTCCTCGTTCTGGCTAGTCATGATGTAGGACACGCACAGGTACGCTGTCTTACCTCCTCGTTCTGGCTAGTCATGATGTAGGACACGCACAGGTACACTGTCTTACCTCCTCGTTCTGGCTAGGTGTGATGTAGGACACACACAGGTACACTGTCTTACCTCCTCGTTCTGGCTAGTCATGATGTAGGACACGCACAGGTACGCTGTCTTACCTCCTCGTTCTGGCTAGTCATGATGTAGGACACACACAGGTACGCTGTCTTACCTCCTCGTTCTGGCTAGATGTGATGTAGGACACACACAGGTACGCTGTCTTACCTCCTCGTTCTGGCTAGTCATGATGTAGGACACACACAGGTACGTTGTCTTATCTCCTTGTTCTGGCTAGTCATGATGTAGGACACACACAGGTACACTGTCTTACCTCCTCGTTCTGGCTAGTCATGATGTAGGACACGCACAGGTACGCGGTCTTACCTCCTCGTTCTGGCTAGGTGTGATGTAGGACACACACAGGTACACTGTCTTACCTCCTCGTTCTGGCTAGTCATGATGTAGGACACGCACAGGTACGTTGTCTTACCTCCTCGTTCTGGCTAGGTGTGATGTAGGACACACACAGGTACGCTGTCTTACCTCCTCGTTCTGGCTAGGTGTGATGTAGGACACACACAGGTACGCTGTCTTACCTCCTCGTTCTGGCTAGTCATGATGTAGGACACGCACAGGTACGCTGTCTTACCTCCTCGTTCTGGCTAGGTGTGATGTAGGACACACACAGGTACGCTGTCTTACCTCCTCGTTCTGGCTAGGTGTGATGTAGGACACACACAGGTACGCTGTCTTACCTCCTCGTTCTGGCTGGTCATGATGTAGGACACGCTCGGGTACGTTGTCTTACCTCCTCGTTCTGGCTAGTCATGATGTAGGACACACACAGGTACGCTGTCTTACCTCCTCGTTCTGGCTGGTCATGATGTAGGACACGCACAGGTACGCGGTCTTACCTCCTTGTTCTGGCTAGTCATGATGTAGGACACGCACAGGTACGTTGTCTTACCTCCTCGTTCTGGCTAGTCATGATGTAGGACACACACAGGTACGTTGTCTTATCTCCTCGTTCTAGCTAGTCATGATGTAGGACACGCTCGGGTACGTTGTCTTACCTCCTCGTTCTGGCTAGTCATGATGTAGGACACGCTCGGGTACGTTGTCTTACCTCCTCGTTCTGGCTAGTCATGATGTAGGACACACACAGGTACGTTGTCTTATCTCCTTGTTCTGGCTAGGTGTGATGTAGGACACACACAGGTACGCTGTCTTACCTCCTCGTTCTGGCTAGTCATGATGTAGGACACACACAGGTACGCTGTCTTACCTCCTCGTTCTGGCTAGGTGTGATGTAGGACACACACAGGTACGCTGTCTTACCTCCTCGTTCTGGCTAGGTGTGATGTAGGACACACACAGGTACACTGTCTTACCTCCTCGTTCTGGCTAGGTGTGATGTAGGACACACACAGGTACGCTGTCTTACCTCCTCGTTCTGGCTAGTCATGATGTAGGACACGCACAGGTACGTTGTCTTACCTCCTCGTTCTGGCTAGTCATGATGTAGGACACACACAGGTACGCTGTCTTACCTCCTCGTTCTGGCTGGTCATGATGTAGGACACGCACAGGTACGCGGTCTTACCTCCTTGTTCTGGCTAGTCATGATGTAGGACACGCACAGGTACGTTGTCTTACCTCCTCGTTCTGGCTAGTCATGATGTAGGACACACACAGGTACGTTGTCTTATCTCCTCGTTCTAGCTAGTCATGATGTAGGACACGCTCGGGTACGTTGTCTTACCTCCTCGTTCTGGCTAGTCATGATGTAGGACACGCTCGGGTACGTTGTCTTACCTCCTCGTTCTGGCTAGTCATGATGTAGGACACACACAGGTACGTTGTCTTATCTCCTTGTTCTGGCTAGGTGTGATGTAGGACACACACAGGTACGCTGTCTTACCTCCTCGTTCTGGCTAGTCATGATGTAGGACACACACAGGTACGCTGTCTTACCTCCTCGTTCTGGCTAGTCATGATGTAGGACACGCACAGGTACACTGTCTTACCTCCTCGTTCTGGCTAGTCATGATGTAGGACACACACAGGTACGCTGTCTTATCTCCTCGTTCTGGCTAGTCATGATGTAGGACACACACAGGTACACTGTCTTACCTCCTCGTTCTGGCTAGTCATGATGTAGGACACGCACAGGTACGCTGTCTTACCTCCTCGTTCTGGCTAGGTGTGATGTAGGACACGCACAGGTACGCTGTCTTATCTCCTTGTTCTGGCTAGTCATGATGTAGGACACACACAGGTACACTGTCTTACCTCCTCGTTCTGGCTAGTCATGATGTAGGACACACACAGGTACGTTGTCTTATCTCCTTGTTCTGGCTAGTCATGATGTAGGACACACACAGGTACGTTGTCTTACCTCCTCGTTCTGGCTAGATGTGATGTAGGACACACACAGGTACACTGTCTTACCTCCTCGTTCTGGCTGGTCATGATGTAGGACACGCACAGGTACGCGGTCTTACCTCCTTGTTCTGGCTAGTCATGATGTAGGACACGCACAGGTACGTTGTCTTACCTCCTCGTTCTGGCTAGTCATGATGTAGGACACACACAGGTACGTTGTCTTATCTCCTCGTTCTGGCTAGTCATGATGTAGGACACGCTCGGGTACGTTGTCTTACCTCCTCGTTCTGGCTAGTCATGATGTAGGACACGCTCGGGTACGTTGTCTTACCTCCTCGTTCTGGCTAGTCATGATGTAGGACACGCACAGGTACACTGTCTTACCTCCTCGTTCTGGCTAGTCATGATGTAGGACACACACAGGTACGTTGTCTTATCTCCTCGTTCTGGCTGGTCATGATGTAGGACACACACAGGTACACTGTCTTACCTCCTCGTTCTGGCTAGTCATGATGTAGGACACGCACAGGTACACTGTCTTACCTCCTCATTCTGGCTAGTCATGATGTAGGACACACACAGGTACGTTGTCTTATCTCCTCGTTCTGGCTAGTCATGATGTAGGACACGCACAGGTACGTTGTCTTACCTCCTCGTTCTGGCTAGTCATGATGTAGGACACGCACAGGTACACTGTCTTACCTCCTCGTTCTGGCTGGTCATGATGTAGGACACGCACAGGTACACTGTCTTACCTCCTCGTTCTGGCTAGTCATGATGTAGGACACGCACAGGTACGTTGTCTTACCTCCTCGTTCTGGCTGGTCATGATGTAGGACACGCACAGGTTGGCGAGGACAATGGCGCTCACACTCAGCAGCTGCAACAGGGAGGAACACAAATTCAGCTAGATATCCATGAACAGTGAACAGATGTCAGTGAACAAAGGTCAAGGAGGAACTCGCAACTCATCAATAACTTACACATAAAGGGTAGAAATGTTTGATGAAGTGAACTGTTAAGAAAGAAAGATAACAGCGACAGTTGTCAGTGACTCAGTGATGTATTTGGACATGTTGGAGGAGGATTCACTCACATTGTCGTAGTTCTTCTTGACAATGGGCTCATAGAAGCCTGTAGCCTCCTTGTATTTGTTCTCCTGCATGAAGAGCACATGCGCCACATTGAGCTTCCAGGCATCGTGTTCATTACAGAACTCCACTGACTTGCGGAATATCTTCTCCACCTGCTGGTAGTTCTCCATGTCCCAGTAGATCTTGGCCTGCTGCATCAGGATGGGAATGTACCTGCAACACCACCATCGGGATAACACACACACCATCGGGTAACACACACACCATCAGGGTAACACACACACCATCGGGATAACACACACACACACCATCGGGGTGATATACACACGCACCATCGGCATAACACACACACACACCATCGGGATAACACACACACACACCATCGGGGTGATATACACACACACCATCGGGATAACACACGCACACACACCATGGGGATAACACACACACACACCATCGGGGTGATATACACACGCACCATCGGCATAACATACACACACACCATCGGGATAACACACACACACACCATCGGGGTGATATACACACACACCATCGGGATAACACACACACACACACCATCGGGATAACACACACACACACCATCGGGATAACACACACACACACCATCGGGGTAACACACACACAAACACCATCGGGATCTCTCACACACACACACACACACACACACACACACACACACACACACACACACACACACACACACACACACACACACACACACACACACACACACACACCATCACACACACCATCACACACACACCATCACACACACACCATCACACACACACCATCACACACACACCCCATCTCAAACACACACACACACCATCACACACACACCATCGGGGTAACACACACACACCATCAGGATAACACACACACACACCATCGGGATAACACACACACACACACCATCGGCATAACACACACAATCGGCATAACACACACACACACACACCATCGGGGTAACACACACACATACACACACCATCTGCATAACACACACCATCGGGGTAACACACACACACCATCGGGGTAACACACACACCATCCGGATAACACACACACCATCAGGATAACACACACACCATCGGGATAACATACACATCATCAGCATAACACACACACCATCGGGGTAACACACACACACATATACACACACCATCGGGATAAAACACACACACACACACACACACCATCGGGGTAACACACACACACACACCATCGCCATAACACACACACCATCGGGGTAACACACACATACACACCATCGCCATAACACACACACACACACACCATCTGGATAACATACACACGATCGGCATAACACACACACCATCGGGATAACACACACACACACCATCGGGGTAACACACACACCATCGGGATAACACACACACCATCAGGATAACACACACACCATCGGGATAACACACACACCATCGGGATAACAAGCACACATACCATCAGGATAACACACACCATCAGGACAACACACATACCATAGGGACAATACACACACACACCATCTGGATAACACACACACCATCAGGGTAACACACACACCATCGGGATAACACACACACACCATCGGGGTAACATACACACATCATCAGGATAACACACACATCATCAGGATAACACACACATCATCAGGGTAACACACACACCATCGGGATAACACACACACCATCGGGGTAACACACACACACCATCGGGGTAACATACACACATCATCAGGGTAACACACACATCATCAGGATAACACACACATCATCGGGATAACACAAACCATCAGGATAACACATACATCATCAGGATAACACACACCATCGGGATAACACACACCATCAGGATAACACACATCATCAGGATAACACACACACATCATCAGGATAACACAAACCATTAGGATAACACACACCATCACGATAACACACACCATCAGGATAACACACATCATCAGGATAACACACACCATCAGGATAACACACATCATCAGGATAACACACACCATCAGGATAACACACATCATCAGGATAACACACACCATCAGGATAACACACACCATCAGGATAACACACATCATCAGGATGACACACACACATCATCAGGATAACACACACCATCGGGATAACACACACACCATCAGGATAACACACACACATCATCAGGATAACACACACCATCGGGATAACACACACACCATCAGGATAACACACACACATCATCAGGATAACACACACACACACACACATCATCAGGATAACACACACAAATCATCAGGATAACACACACACCATCAGGATAACACACACCATCAGGATAACACACACCATCAGGATAACACACACACATCATCAGGATAACACACACACATCATCAGGATAACACACACACATCATCAGCATAACACACACACACCATCAGGATAACACACACACATCATCAGGATAACACACACACATCATCAGGATAACACACACCATCAGGATAACACACACCATCAGGATAACACACATCATCAGGATAACACACACACACCATCAGGATAACACACACACATCATCAGGATAACACACACCATCGGGATAACACACACACCATCAGGATAACACACACACATCATCAGGATAACACACACACACATCATCAGGATAACACACACACATCATCAGGATAACACACACACCATCAGGATAACACACACCATCAGGATAACACACACCATCAGGATAACACACACACATCATCAGGATAACACACACACATCATCAGGATAACACACACACATCATCAGCATATCACACACACACCATCAGGATAACACACACACATCATCAGGATAACACACACACATCATCAGGATAACACACACCATCAGGATAACACACACCATCAGGATAACACACATCATCAGGATAACACACACACACCATCAGGATAACACACACACATCATCAGGATAACACACACACATCATCAGGATAACACACACCATCAGGATAACACACACACACCATCAGGATAACACACACACATCAGGATAACACACATCATCAGGATAACACACACACACCATCAGGATAACACACACACACCATCAGGATAACACACATCATCAGGATAACACACACCATCAGGATAACACACATCATCAGGATAACACACACCATCAGGATAACACACACCATCAGGATAACACACACACATCATCAGGATAACACACACCATCGGGATAACACACACACCATCAGGATAACACACACACATCATCAGGATAACACACACACATCATCAGGATAACACACACACATCATCAGGATAACACACACACCATCAGGATAACACACACCATCAGGATAAAACACACCATCAGGATAACACACACACATCATCAGGATAACACACACACATCATCAGGATAACACACACACATCATCAGCATAACACACACACACCATCAGGATAACACACACACATCATCAGGATAACACACACACATCATCAGGATAACACACACCATCAGGATAACACACACCATCAGGATAACACACATCATCAGGATAACACACACACACCATCAGGATAACACACACACATCATCAGGATAACACACACACATCATCAGGATAACACACACCATCAGGATAACACACACACACCATCAGGATAACACACACACACCATCAGGATAACACACACACATCATCAGGATAACACACATCATCAGGATAACACACACACACCATCAGGATAACACACACACATCATCAGGATAACACACACACATCATCAGGATAACACACATCATCAGGATAACACACACACATCATCAGGATAACACAAACACACCATCAGGATAACACACACCATCAGGATAACACAGACACATCATCAGGATAACACACACCATCGGGATAACACACACACCATCAGGATAACACACACACATCATCAGGATAACACACATCATCAGGATAACACACATCATCGGGATAACACACATCATCAGGATAACACACACACATCATCAGGATAACACACATCATCAGGATAACACACACACATCATCAGGATAACACACACCATCGGGATAACACACACACCATCAGGATAACACACACACATCATCAGGATAACACACACCATCAGGATAACACACACCATCAGGATAACACACACACACCATCAGGATAACACACACACATCATCAGGATAACACACACCATCGGGATAACACACACACCATCAGGATAACACACACACATCATCAGGATAACACACACCATCAGGATAACACACACCATCAGGATAACACACACCATCAGGATAACACACACCATCAGGATAACACACATCATCAGGATAACACACACCATCAGGATAACACACACCATCAGGATAACACACACCATCAGGATAACACACACACATCATAAGGATAACACACATCATCAGGATAACACACATCATCAGGATAACACAAACCATTAGGATAACACACACACATCATCAGGATAACACACACCATCAGGATAACACAAACCATCAGGATAACACACACCATCAGGATAACACACACACACCATCAGGATAACACACACACATCATCAGGATAACACACACCATCAGGATAACACACACACATCATCAGGATAACACACATCATCAGGATGACACACACACATCATCAGGATAACACACACACATCATCAGGATAACACACACCATCAGGATAACACACACACATCATCAGGATAACACACACACATCATCAGGATAACACACATCATCAGGATAACACACACCATCAGGATAACACACATCATCAGGATAACACACACACACCATCAGGATAACACACACCATCAGGATAACACACACACGTCATCAGGATAACACACATCATCAGGATAACACACATCATCAGGATAACACAAACCATTAGGATAACACACACACATCATCAGGATAACACACACCATCAGGATAACACACACCATCAGGATAACACACACACATCAGGATAACACACACACATCATCAGGATAACACACACCATCAGGATAACACACACACATCATCAGGATAACACACACCATCAGGATAACACACACCATCACGATAACACACACCATCACGATAACACACACACATCAGGATAACACACACCATCACGATAACAC